CCCCTGAGGGGATGGGATCTGTCTTTGGGTTTTTATTGCTGTGAAGAGACACCATGACCATGTCCGCCCTCATTGGGGTGGCTTACAGTTCAGAGGTTACATCCATTATCATCATGGTGGGAAGCGTGGCAGTGTGCGAGCAGACATGATGGTTCAGGAGTGAGAGTCTGACATCTTATGGGCAACAGGAAGTGAACTGAGACACTGGGTGGTATCCTAAGCATAGGAAACCTCAAACCCCACCCCCACAGTGACACACTTGCTCCAACAGAGCCATACCCACTCCAACAATGTCATACCTCTTAATAGTGTGACTCCCTATGAGATTATGGGGGTCAATTACATTCCACTCCCTGGCCCCTATAAGCTAGTAGCCATATCAAGATGCAAAATGTATTTAGTTCAACTTCAAAAGTCCCCATGGTCTATCACAGTCTCAACAATGTTTAAAAGTCCAAATTCCGAAGTCTCTTCTGAGAGTCATGCAATCTTTTAACTGTAACCCACTATAAGTCAAAGTAAAAAAAGCAGATAACACACTTCCAACATATAATGGCACAGGACATACATTACAATTTCAAAATGGAGGAAAGGGAACACAGTGAGGAAACACTGGACCAAGGCAAGGCCAAAAACCAGCTGGGCAAACTTCAAACTCTCTCCATGACTGATGTCAAAATGCTCTTGAGATCTCCAACTCCTTTCATCTTTGCTGACTGCAATACATTTCTTGGACTGGTTCCCCTCCCTGTTAGCAGCTCTCCTCAGCAGGTATCCCATGGTTCTGGCATCTCCAACATTTTAGGTTCTCTAAGACACTCCAGGCTTCACCTTCACAGCTTCACACAATGGCCTCTCCAGGCTTCCACTCAGGAACACCTGACACATGCCTGGGCTCACCGGCTTGCCTTAGTCTTACAGGAAAATTTCACAGCCTCTTTTTCTATACTTAATTCCAGAAGCTGACAAGTTCTGCGGCTTGTTGGGGCTAGAATATGACCCCCTTGTTTCATTACATCTTCACCAACTTTCTGTCCTTCGCTGCCTAAGCATAGCTATCCTGAAATTGGATCTCTAGACCAGACTGACCTCAAACTCAAGAGATCTACTTGCCTCTGTCTCCTAAGTACTAGGATTAAAGATGTGCACCACCATACCTGGCTCTAAATTTTCTTTAACTCCTTTTTACTAATTGAAATATTAGCTGGGTGGGGTCTTACCCTGAGGTCACCACTCCCTTTAACTTCATTTAATATCCTGTTCTTCTTTAATCTGTTGATCTCTTTGAGCACAGGACTTAACTCCATTCCAGTTCCTGGTGCTCCTTTTCTCCTTGAACTGTACATTTTGTATTGTTCCACCTCAGCGTTCTCCTTTTCATTATAAACCTTCACCAGGGTTTTCCTCTGCCGACTTAAAGCAGACTTTCCTCTGCTTTAGAATTAATCTAAAGCTCTTCAATTTAGCCTCAGACAGACTCTTCAGACAAGGACAAAAAACATTCACATTTTTCACCAAAATATCACAAGAACAATTTCTAGGCAACATACTAAAATTCTTCTCCTCTGAATCTATTGATCTAGCCCTAGACAGTCAAATCATCAACAGCACCATTGTCTTCCATGTTCTTTCTAGAATGACCCAGTAAGCAGTGTTTACAGTATTCCACTGTTTTTCTAACCCAAACTACCAAAGTCCAAATTCCTCCAAACAAAACACGGTCCGGCCTATCACAACAATACCTCAGTCGCTGGTACCAACTTCTGTCTTAGTTACGGTTTCTATGGTGGGGAGCATGGTGGTATGCAGGCAGACATGGTGCTAGCCACATCTCGATCAGAAGGCAACAGAAAGTAGACTCTGACACTATGCAAAGCTGAAGCAAAAGAGACCTCAAAGCCTGCCCCCACAGTGATACCCTTCCTACAAGGCCACACCTCCTAACAGTGCCGCTCCCTATGAGATTATGAGGGCCAATGACAGTCAAACTATCACAGGTGCTTTGTCTAAATGCCTGACCTTGGGAAAAGGACTTTCTTGGGGGACCAGATATTTCATTATAGATTACAGTTTTTTATGTGGCTTAATTTATCCAACTAGCTAAAACTTAAAGTAAGCAAAGATGAAGCTAGAGAAATGTTACTGTGAACCTGAGTAGACCTTAGGAATTCATAAGTCTTGATTATCAAATATACCTTATTTATCAAGCATATATTATTTATCTAAACTTTCTAGTTTGGTGTTAACCTGTATGGGAGCAGGCAGAGTTATCACGCTATATGGTTCCTTGGTGGAAGGGAATTTTTTCCAAAGAACTATTTTGTTTTAAGAAGCTGCCATTTTATACATTTTCATCCTTCAAAGCCCACACAAAATTTCCCAAAGGAAAATGCATAAGGGAACTAACTCCCACAGAACATAGTGAGAATTATTAAAAATGAAAGTAAACAGGTACTGGAGAATTGTGATTCGCAAAGTCGAAATGCTGGAACTTTGTCAAGCAGCAATGGCCCCTATACGGTCCACACCAGTGGCTGATATGGGAGGGCCCAGCCCACTGGGGGAAATGCACTGCGCAGGTAGTCCTGTGTGGTATTAGAAAGCAGGCTGAGCAAGCCATGAAGAGCAAGCCCAAAAGCAGGGCTCCTTCGTGGCCCCTTCTTCAGTTCCTGCCTCCAAGTTCCTGACTTGACTTCCAGAGGGTGAACTGTGACCGGGAAGTATAAAATGAAACAAACCGTTTCCTCCCCAAGTTGCTTTTGGTTGTGTTTTTTATTACAGTAATTACCTAACAAAAGCACACCCTCATAGCCATTCTCAGAGGTGTGTCTTGTAGGTAATGTCAAAGTCAAGTATGTAAGTACACAAAGACTATTTAAATTTCTAAAGAAAACTATGTATCACAGGATAGCTTCAAACTTTCAACCCTCCTGGTTCAGCTACCAAGTGCTAGGATTACAAGGATGCACACAACATCATGGATCACTACAGGACGATGTTTTGGAGGTGACTTTGTCTTCCCACAGGACAAATCTTCTAATTTTATGAGAAGGATAGCAATCCACACCATACACAAGCTGGGATCTGCACAAGCCCCAGGGATTTTCTGGGTTTGCTGTAATGTTATAGGGTCAGAAAAAAAATGGAATGGAGGTGGGGGCGGTGCTGAGAGGAGAAAGGGTCTTCTTCAACAGCTGTAAAGATTCACATTTAATGAGACATACCTAGAGAGGGCCTGGCCTCCTGGCCAGTAGATTGCCCAGTAGGGGTCACTGTAGGGCCACAAGTCAGCCCTTTCCCACCAGAACTTGCACCTGGGGGTCAAAAGCCGTAACTGGATTTCAGGGGTAAGGCTGCCACTGCTGGTGACTTCAGTATTCTCCTCCAGGTAGGCTTTCATCTCAGGGTCCAAACAGCTGCCTGCTGTCCTCCAGGGAAACAGAGGGACCCCACTGCTCACACTCCGCAGCAAACGCCATTGGCTCCTGGAATTTTTCCAAGCCAGGCTGAAAGCCATTAGTACTTTTCCAAACCTCAGGTTCTGTCAGTGTCGGTACTAAACAGACTGCTCCCCAAGCAGACAGAATGAGGGTCTGCCTCTCCACTTAGTGGACAATGGAATTTTGGATCTCTGTAACAAACAAACAAACAAACAATACTGAAAATTCTTAGTCCATACCCTTCAACATGACAAGAAAATAAGCTAGTGTATGCTCTAACAACTCACAAACGTATGTTCATGTCAGAGGACAGTTTTCACTTATCAATTTGGGTTAAAAAAATCCTTTTTTTTTCCTGTGAAATCCTTTTTGTAATCCATAATCACAAAAATACACAGGGCTTTTTATTTCACAACAATCTTCAAGAAAATGAAATAAGCTCCACCTTTTTGTTTGTTTTGTTTTTAGGGTAGACTTGAGCTGAGGCTAATGCGCTGGTTCAGCAGTTAGGGGCACCTGATGCTCCTGCAGAGGACCCAGGTTCAGTTCTTAGCACCCCCGCGGCCTCTCACAACTGTAACTCCAGTTCCAGGGGATCTGGCGCTCTCTTCTGGCATTGCTAGGCACCACGCAGACAAAACACTCATCCATCAAATACAGACTTGGACTGTAGCCCAGGATTGTAGCTATGCTGACCAATCTGACATCAAGTTTGCGGTTATCCTCCTGCTTCTGTCTCTTAAGGACTGAGACTACAGGTACACGCCATCACACCCGGCGTGGACTTCACTATAATACAAGGACACCAACTTCCAGGGCTGAGACTACAGGTATACGCCATCATACCCGGCGTGGATTTCACTGTAATACAAGGACATCAACTTCTAGGGTTGAGACTATAGGTACACGTCATCATACCCGGTGTGGATTTCCCAGTAATACAAGGACACCAACTTCTAAATTCCTGTCAATACTAAATTCCTGTCAATTACCAAACCTAAACTTAAAATATTTATAACCCAAAGTATACCTTAGAAAGGAAAAGTGACAAATACCATTTTTTGTTTGTTTTTTGGCACGGGGTCTCTCTATTATGCAGCTCTGGCTATCCTGAAACTCACACCTTGAACTCACAGATATCCACCTGCATCTGCCTCCAGAACGCTGACACTAATGGCATGTGCCACTATGCCTGGCTTGTTGTTGTCTTAAAGATTTATTTTAATTGTGTCTGAGTGTATGTGACCGTCTGCAGAGGCACCAGCTCCCCTTATAGGCAGCTGCAAGCTGCATGACGTGGGTACTGGGAACTGACCTTGGTCCTCCGCAAGAGCAGCAAGTGCTCTTTACTTCTGAACCATCTCTCCAGCTCCTTTTTGCTGTTGTTGCAGGCATTAAGAGAACTCGCTTAATTAAGAGAGCACACATAGCTTCTGGTAACACATTCTGAGAGAGAGAGAGAGAGAGAGAGAGAGAGAGAGAGAGAGAGAGAGAG